ACAACGTCTCTCCTCCGCTCTTCAGGGTATGTCGCAAGTTGCTTTTCAATATTCTGAGCGAACGCCTCTACCAAACCGTAATGCGTAGGCCATCGGTCAATGACGCTCCACTGTATGGCTCCCTCCGGTTCCTGTTCCCCAGTCACGCGCTTGCTTTCCAGTCGGTTTCGCCATTTCCACAGTTCGTTCAATGAGCTGCCTGTCGTGGAGCAAGAATATTGCGGGTATTGTGTAAACGCCACTGCACGACCTCCTTTGCCTCCGCCAAATCCATCCTCGAGCATCTGGGCATAGGTAGTTTCTGTCAAAGGGGCTGTGTATCGGAACGCAATGTATGGTTTATGTGGTGCAGTTTCTGGTGATATCTTGTCGAGGATCTTGCACATCTCCTTGCATTGGTACTCAGACCATTTTTTAATCGGCGATCCCCCTCCAATGGCCGCATACTGCTTCTCGATTTTGGGCGTCCTACGATGGGAGATGAGGGGCCCCAGGTATGACTGAAGCCGTCCAAGGGGTATTATGTCGGGATCTGCCTGAAGCACACAACTGCAGTCAGTAAAGATAAAAACAAATAAAATAAAATAAAACATAATGTAAGTTAGTTATCCTTACAAATAGTCTGCTCAAGTAATCGCCAACATCCTTTGTTGTTTGCGGGCCCCCCATGTTCAGGAATACCATAGCAGTCGGCCCCTTCGATCCCGCGGAATCTTGTGTGACAGGCGGAGCACTTGTTGCCATCCCGTGCCGTTGTTGGTCGCCATAGCTCGAAAGCGATACTGACGCCGTGGGCCTCCAATTCGCTCTCTTCACCGCCTTCCTGGGAAGCGCTGTGATGAAAGTTCGTAGGGACATTTCCGAAGCTGGTGTGCTTATATCCCTTGGTAATCAATCCGTTGTAGCAGTAAAATCAGTGTAGAGAGGCCGGGCATCGGGCCAGGTCGTGTAGCGGTGCTAACAATTTCCTGACTAGTAGGGAGGTTGGTCAATTGGATAGGGCGTGCGTCGGCCCTGCGAATGTTAAATGCCGATTCCCGTTGTTGCCGGCAAAATGACTATTCCCAGCCGTGGCCAATCACAAGCCGAGGAAAGCTAATTCAGAGACCTGGTTATCATGTGATCTGGCGTCTCTCCGCGTTTCTTGGCGGCTATTTCGCGCTGACATCACACAACGGGCGAGAAGGAACTACAACAGGCAGAAGCGAGGTCTTGAACAACTACAAGAGCGCGACGTGTTGGGGTTTTGTCAAAAAACACCACAGCAGCATCTTCATCCTTTTTCGTTCCTTTTTCGGTTGTGAACTATCTTACGACCACAATCATCACGAGAGTTTTACGCATTTCACTACCACTCAAAAATGGCCGATGAGACACCTTCTTGGCAGCAAGATGATGCACTCGAGGAGGAGGAAGACGTTGATGAAACGGTACAGTAACTGTCTATGTTTGATAAATCTTATTCCGTGGCTCAATTGCTCTCTTCCATACTAAATATTACAATACAGGGCTATAAATCTGTCAAAGATGCTGTCCTTTTCGCCATTGAGATCAGCGAGTCCATGTTGACTCCGCCTCCTGACACAGGCTCCAAGAGAGCTGATAAGGAATCGCCTGCGACTGCTGCTCTGAAATGTGCATATCATCTGATGCAGCAGCGGATAATATCAAACCCCAAGGACATGATTGGCATTCTACTATACGGGACAGAGGAATCCAAGTTTTACGACGATGACGAGAGCGGCCGGGGAAATCTGTCATACCCTCACTGCTATCTATTCACGGATCTTGACGTGCCAGCGGCAGATGACGTAAAAAAGCTTAGGGCATTGGTGCATGACGAGGAGGAGGCAGAACAGATATTGGTCCCGTCAAAGGAACGTGTCTCGATGTCCAATGTGCTATTTTGTGCGAACCAGATATTCAGCTCCAAAGCCCCCAATTTCTCCTCCAGACGATTATTCATTGTGACAGACAATGACGACCCTCATTCCAAAGACAAGGGACTGAGGTTCGCCGCAACTGTTCGCGCGAAGGATTTATACGATCTTGGCGTGACTATCGAGCTCTTTCCAATATCCCGGCCAAACCAGGAATTCGACAGATCGAAGTTTTTTGATGTATGTGTGTAATGGCTTCCCTCCATTCACGTGAACTTCCTAGCTAACATACAGACTAGGACATTGTATACAAATCGTCTCCGACAGATCCAGAAGCGCCAGCCTTCCCCACGGGCCAAACAAAAACCTCAACCTCAGGCGGCGATGGCATATCACTTCTAAAATCATTATTATCTTCGATTAACTCCAAATCGGTACCCCGTAGAGCATTATTCTCAAACGTACCATTGGAAATAGGGCCAGAGTTCAAAATTTCCGTCACCGGCTATCTAATATTCAAGCGTCAAGAACCTGCGCGGAGTTGCTACGTGTGGCTAGGGGGGGAGGAGCCGCAAATAGCCAAGGGCATCACTACCCAAATGGCTGACGATTCTGCACGAGAAGTGGAAAAGTGGGAGATCAGGAAAGCATATAAATTCGGTGGGGAACAAATCTCCTTTACTCAAGAAGAGCAGGCAGCGCTGCGAAATTTCGGTGAGCCTACGATTCGCATCATCGGATTCAAACCACTTTCCGCCCTCCCAATATGGGCCTCTATGAAACACCCAACTTTCATATATCCATCCGAGGAAGGGTATGTCGGATCCACACGCGTCTTCTCCGCACTTTATCAGACGCTTTTAAAGAAGGAGAAACTAGCACTTGTATGGTTCGTGCCTCGTAAAAACGCAGCTCCCGTTATGGCTGCTATGATTCCCGGCACTGCGAAGCTAGATGAAGACGGCGAAGAAATTATCCCGCAGGGCATGTGGATCTTGCCTCTCCCATTTGCAGACGATATCCGACAAAATCCAGAAACGAATCTCATCACGGCTCCAGACGAATTAGTTGATAAAATGCGCACGGTCATCCAATTACTTCAATTGCCCAAGGCACAATATGACCCCCAGAAATACCCAAATCCTTGTAAGTTGCACACCGATTTATTTATTTAGCTTGTTTTACTACACTGATTCAGCTAACTATTCATTACTCGAATCAGCTTTACAATGGCACTATCGCATTTTGCAAGCCCTGGCTCTCGACGAGGACCTACCAGAACAGCCAGAAGACAAAACGATACCAAAATACCGTCAAATCGACAAGGTTTGTTTCGCCCTTTTCTCCTCTAGGGAAAAGCTCCCCTTGTTAACTAGACTCCTCACAGCGCGCTGGTGAACACGTGATAGCCTGGGGTGAAGAATTAGAAGCCCAACATCTGATACTCGAAGCAAAACAACCAGCAACTTCCACCCTCGTCAAACGACCAGCAAGTAGGGCTCAAGAACAAGTCAATGGGGGGTCACGGCCCATCAAAAAGGTGAAAACCACCTCTGATGCCACGGGCGCCGATGAGGAGGTGAGAGTACTCTACGAGAAGGGAGCGTTGAATAGGGTGAGTTGATTCGTTAGACTTTTTATCTATTTGTTTATTTTTGTTTCTTCATATCTCTGCCCGCCTCCACTAGCTCATGTTTAGTCGTCTTCAAACTAACTAATACGGCAATGAATGCTGTAGTTGACTGTGGCTGTCCTTAAGGACTACCTTCAGTCCCAGAATCTGTCTACGACAGGTAAAAAGGCCGATTTGGTTGAGAGGGTGGAAGAATTTTTGGAGCAGAAATGACGTTTAGAGCTGGGATCCACTATCGTCGACTACTGCTCTTATTATATTGGGGTATTCTAACTTTTACCCGGTCCGTTCTATCTCTGCGAGTTTCCTTTACTTTGGAGTTTTGGAATCCCTGATTTATTATTTTGCGTCTTTCCCTGTTAGTTTATCGTGTGTTAGTTTTGGCTTTAAAAAAATCCATGACTGGTATGAGAACGAAAACGCAAGGCAGCTTTTACGGAATTATGGGAGTTATCTAGGTATTTTTCCTATTCATTCCAGTTATTGATATTTATTTCTTTTAGGATTACTTTTCCGCTGTCTGGCCAAATGAATTTATATTGGGTATCCAACCGTTCTGCTCTTTTCTATAATTTCCCCCGATGAGTCCAAGCTATGCAAGCTATTAAAATCCCAACTAACATCATTGCTACGACGACATACGTTGCCCATGAACAGTCTTTATGCTCTACCTTGAATCAAAAAGCTCTATCCACGTGCCAATACACGTATGATGATAAGCTGAAGGCAAGCAGATAGCGGGCCGGGAGAACACTCCACCCTCGTTCCTGCGAAACAACACCACCACCACAACGCGCATTTGTGGCTCACCAGGACTGTTTTGCTTGACGAATCGAACTAGAAGGGCCCCCCCCCCCTCTCCCCCCCCCAAAAAAAAAGAAAAGAAAAGAAAAGAAAAGAAAAGAAGAAAGAAAAAAAGAGCATTACGTATACATGCTCGCTTAAGCACGACTCAATTCGAGACGCCGATAGCAGGCTTGTCAGAGCCCAGCCGCGCATCAGTCTGCAAAACACGAGGTTTAGCTCAGTCTGGCAGGCGATCAGCGGGGAGCTTCTTCGTTCTGCTGGACGAGTGCTAGCTATGCCAGCCCCACGCATACGGGTTTGCGGAGCCTTCTAACGGGATACTGCAAAGGAGCGACCAGCGTTCCAATTGATTTTAAGATTAACCAGGGGCCGATGCGAGCAGATCGGCAGGGAACTAAAGGCCGGAGCCCGTGTTGCTAAGAAACTACGTATATCTGGAACAGAACAGCGGGTCGATGCCTATTTCTCAGAAATATATGTATATATATTTGAGATAACCCCCGTTAATCTGTTTCGTTTAAACGTTATCGCTTGTCCGTTCTAGGGAGCGAACGATGAATCGATAATACTTGAATCGGATAACCTCTCCCCAGTTATATCACATCGCGCGCCAAAGCGCTCTGATGCCCCTCACCCCTAAACCGGGAAAAACTACAAAATAAATAAATATCACCTCGAAAATGCACCTCTTCAACGGCGGCCGCGCCGCGCTGCTGGCACTCTACTTAACCCTCACCGTCGCCCTCGCCGCCATCCCCAGCAGCAAACGCTTCGACCTCTCAAAACCCTCATACAACCTCTTCCGCAGCAAAAGCCTCCACGAGAACCGCGTCCAGCAAAGCTTCGCCTTCGATAACATCAATAGGCGCCTCTTCGTCGCCTAGCTGCGCGACGGCACAGGCGCCACGTCCGGCGACCTCTGCATAACCCAGCTCGACTTCTCCGGCAAGTATCTGGGCTACATGCACCTGAACGGCTTCGGGCACGGTGTCACCTTCGGCGCGCAGGGCACGCGCGACGGCGCGACGTACCTGTGGACCGAAGTCGAGGCCAACGGCAACGGGTACGGCAAGAGGCTGGCGCGCTTCAAATGGAAGCACGGCAACACCTTATCGGCGTCGGCCGCCGCGCTGACGAAATTCACGCCCATAGCGGGCGCGACGGAGCGAGCACACGGCCTTCATCGACCAGCTGGCCAACCGGCTGGTCGTCCGCTATCAGCACAAGGGCGGCAAGCATATCGCCGCCTTCGACCTGGACGCTGCCGCCAGGGGCGACTTTGCGAACCCGCTCGTGAATTTCCCGCAGCCCGTGCTGGATAAGTTCAAGTCCAAGGTGTTCCAGGGGTATGCGGCGCACGGGTCGTACTTGTATATCATGACGGGTACCTCGTATGAGGCCAGTGACGGGGAGGTGAATTCTCAAGTGGCAAGTATTGATATGAATACAGGGAAGATCGTGCAGGGCCCGACGCTGACGAATGCTGGGTCGAGTCTGCCCTTCCGGGAACCGGAGGGCATGGGGGTTTATAAGACGAAGGCTGGTGAGGTGAGGTTCTTCTTGGGCTTTGCGACTGGGAAGAGAGGGGATCGGAGATCGAGTTTGTTTTATAAAGATGCACTGATTTGATTTGTATTGGACGATGACGCGCGTGGCATTTGGGCTTTTTCTTTTTCTTTTTCTTTCTTTCTTTTTTTTCGTTTTTTTTTTTTTTTTTTTTTTTATTTTTTTGAGACTGGGATCCACCGATCCATTTTCTATCGTTAACTAATAACCCGCACTTCCTTTCACTTGATACACCCATAGAAACAAAATCATACTTCACGAGAACTGTCCAAAACAAATACAAAAAACACAGCTATACACCTAGAGCCATGTAAGAGAGCGTCAATAAAATTTATACATAATCGATGAGCTGGCTAGATGAGAAGCCCTCACGTAACTACAAAAAATAATAATAAAATAAAATTAAATAAAATAAAATAAAATACATAAAAAAAACCATTCAATAAACCGCGCTCAATCCGAAAAGAACCCCAGTTACATACATACATACCTACATACATATATACAATACAGTGAAAAGCTCAACAAAGCCATGGAATTAGTAACTATGTAAAGAATAATGATTTAAAAAAAAAAGGGGGAAGAAAACAGCAAGTGAACGTCCGTGGCCCCAGGGACCTTAATTGACTACATCCATACATGCGTAGATCATGAAGTAAAATAAGAAAGAGGGAAAATAAGATGTGGTGGGTTGATCGGGTCAAAAAATGTTCGAACTTATGCATGTATGTATGTACTGTACTATTAATAGTATGTAAAAACCACGCACCGAAAATCGCTGCCAAGAAGGAGATGGATAGATAAAAAGAAGCGCCCGATTTATGATAATTTCTCTTCTGACCTGACTCCCTGCAAGAAGATTTTTTGTAAAAGACAAAAAAAAAAAAAAAACCAGACATTCGCTGCGCTGCACGATACAATGGCGGCGGTGGAAGTTGTACCATACATAACAGCGCAGCAGTGAAGGGGGAAAAAAAAGATGAACCCTTGATAATATTCAAGTTCAAATGGGGTTACAGCACACATCTGTTCGAAACCCCGGTTACTCATGGTATGGCGGCGGAGGGGTGCGCTCATGGGATTGCGATTGCGGCGGCTGCGGCTGTAGTTGTAGTTGCGGTTGCGGTTGTGGCTGAGGCTGCGGAAGGGGATGTTGATGTGGTTGATGTGGTTGATGTGGTTGATGTTGGGGGTACTGCTGCTGATACGGGTGTGCATTCTGCGGGCGAGGGAGGGGAAGTGGTTGGTGGTGCGGTTGGAGCTGTTGTTGATGTTGATGTTGGTGGTGCGTCGCTGGGTGTTGTGAGCCCGGATGGAGTGGTGGAGGTGGAGGTGGCGGGTGTCCGTAAATCGCGTGATGGTAGGGCGGGCCTAGCGCTACATGCCCAATCGGCGCGTGCATGTATTGTGGCGGCGGGGGAGGAGGGCCATGCGCAACATGTGGCGGAGGGCAGTGGGGAGGATAGGGTCCCGGGTGATATGCCATACTTGGTGGTGGGGGCAGGTGCGGATGCGTAGAGGAGAATGGGTCAGGGAGTTCATTTAGATGGGGGATGGAAGGGTAGCGACTTGAGGCGGGGAGGATGCGGCGTGGGAGGTTGGGTAATCCGCGTTGGGAGTCAGGTGGAGGTGGCGGTGGGGCCGGTTGGTGCTGAGTCGGAGGTGGGAGGAAAGACCGCGGGTCTGTTGGCGGTATCATCTGGCCGAGTACAGGCTGGGGAAGTATTGTTCTGTGTAGTCCGCGGGAATGTTGGTCTGTTGACAGTCGTGGTGGTTGATGCTGAAGTGGAGGGTGATATGGCTGCGGGGGAAGCTCTTGAGTAACACCAGGAAGGTTGCGGAAGGGCGCAAGCTGCGGGCCTGGTAAGGGAGGCCCATATGCGGGCTGTTGCGCTGGCCGCTGGCCAATGTCTCCCATAGCGACATCGGCAAGAGTACTCAGCGCCGTAGGAGGTTCTACAGGCATTGCATTAGAAGGTTTCCCCTCAGACGTCCGATCTTCTTCGCGCTGGCAAAGTTCGGTTAACGCCTCCGTAAGCTGTGAGATTCTGTCGCTGACAAGAACTGGTGGCCGTGCTTCTTGGGTTATCTCCTTTATTTGAGGAGAAATATCATTTTCGATTTTCGCTCGCTGTATAAAGTCTTCCCACCCATAAGCAGCCCGTTCATAGAGTGCGGCACCCTTGGGGTCTCTGACAAAAGAACTATTGAATCCGCGAACAGAACGTCGACGAGGAGCAATGTCTGCTTCTGATCCTGATTCGTCGGTCTGTAATTTTTCGTAAGTTTTTTGTTCTCTCCATATTCTAAACTGCCCATCTCAGGGTTTCCAATGGAGCCTTACCTCAGTGTGGTCGTCGTCCTCTGCCTGGCGACACTGTTCCACAAAGGCCATATAGCTCCCTTGAGCAGCGAGGAGATGCTCCTCTCTGATATGTCGGGACTTATCCTAGTGAAAGTTAGATCTTTGCAAGTTTGAAAAGGAAAGCAGCGGGGGAACCAGTAGCACTTACATGGAAGTTACTATTGACCCGTTCCTTGTTAGCCTCGAGTAAGGCATCCGCAGCTTTTGCACGCCAATTATATTCGTTCTCAATCACGTCCAGTCTCTTTTGCAGCCTAGCCTTAAGAGCCTTCATGACTTGATTATATTCAGGGACTGTCGTGTGTGCATTGGCATCTTTAATGAGTTTAGCTTCTGATCGATTCGCAATGACGGTAAGCGCGGTCCGCTGAGCCGACGCGACTCGACGGAACACCCTATCGAGTTCCTTTTGTCGCTCACGCAGTTGCTTGATGACCGGGCTGGGAGATACGGATATCTCACGATCGATTGGTTGCAGTCGGCCTCCACGGCCGCCTCTTCCAGCACCCCGACCCCGACCACCTCTCCCACGACCGCGAGCCCATCCTCTCCCTCTTGCCCTTCCTCTAAATCCGCCGCGTCCACGACCTCTGCCCGAAACACTTGGCAGTGTGCTGGCAGACAACTCTGCAGTTTCCGACGGGGTTGCAGCTCGGGAGCCTGATACCTCCGTTGGGGTGCCCTCCCTTGCTGCTAAAGGAGATTCCAGCTCTATTGACTGAGCAGGCGAATCCGCATTGCGGATCTTAAGAAGCGGAACTGGTCGCGTGCGCCTGGTTTCCGGGGCCGGTAGGTCTGTGTCACCATCGCCATTTTTATCATCGCCATTTCTCTCAGATGGGGACTGCATCCCATTACCAGAAGAAGTTGACATCTCTATTTTGAAATTTTTCGTGCGTGCGTTTAGGGTTTCTGCTGGCCCAGTAGTCTTGCTAGTGGAATTTCGCTTCCGTGTAGTCACAGGGCTGGCCCGCTTAGTCGCAGATCCAATGGTAGGTGTCTCTGGTATTGTCGCTGTATTTTTCCTTTTTCCAGCGCCGCCGTCTACGGACTTGCTTTTAGGCTTCGAGACCGCCTCAGGGGAAGAAGTTTCGACCTCGGTTTTATATCCAGAGCTCCGACGGCGCCGAGACGAGTCAGTCAAGGTCGATTTAAACGAAAATAATTGCGAATCAGAAATTGATTTCCTGGTGCGTATACTGGGCGATTTAGACGCAGTATCATTCCCATTCACTTCCCCGTCGTCGGAACCAACATGGATCTCGTGAGGCCCATTGAAGTTTGGTTGCTGGATAGCTGAGCCGTCGGGCTCCTCAGGCACTGAATCCATATGATGGAACTTGGAAAGAATCCTAGCAGATTGGCGTGTTGGGCGCGGTGTGTTCGCTTCCGCAATGCCGTTCTCATGTGCGATCTCTTCCTTTGCCTTCCTGACCCTTTTTGCGCGTGGCGTTTGCGGATCCGAGGGTGATTGAACAGGCAGAGGTTCATCATGACTACTACCATTTAATGACTTTGAGCGGCCAATATGAGCACGGGCTTTGCCTCTTGCTCGCGATCGCGAGCCGCCACGGTTTCCACCTCGCGCGCGGCTCGAGGATGAAGTAGATGATACTGGATGACCAGCGGTTAACAGGAGATATTCGCTATTGCGCTCCTGACAGTAATACTCACCCTGAGAAGAATCTACTGCAGATGCACTGCCCAATTCATGAGTTTGGTCCAACTTGCGCTTAAGGCCGGTCATCATGAGCAGGAGGTAGGGTTCTCAGAGAGTTATCTTTCACACTTTCTGCTGCAGGTTTGGATGAGGTCAGCTCACGTGATCAGGAGAGTTTTCCCAAGTTTGGCGCTGAGAAGAAGTATGAGAAAAAAGGTGAAGAAAGAAAGAGTACAGTACGACAAAACGCGAGGAAAAATAGAAAACAATGAAAAAGAACGAGGTAGGGAGTAAGGAGTAAGAAAAGAGGCGGACCAAGAAATCCAAAGAAAATTACAACCGGCGCTTTCAGTGAATAATCACTTCAGTAAAAGTAGCGGCGCATCCAAGTTGTTAGCAAGAAGAAGACAAGGAACGGTTTGGCGTGGTAGATTTCGCAAACAGCCACAAGAATGATCAGCAATCGAGAAGGTCCAAAAGATTAAATAGGTAGAACGACAAGGAACTGAAACAACCGAAAGGATAGAAGAAAAAAAAAGGAAATATTACAGTTAGAGAGGATGAAACAACAACTAACTTCTTCACTCCAAAAAATAAATAAACACACAGCTAAATTAGGGCCCGGCGATGTAGTAAGCAGGAGGAGGTCTTTAAAATAAAAAAGAGCAGCGAGAGAAAAACGAGACGAAAAGAAGAAAAAAGCGACAAAGACTTGATTTTCCTCACATTCTCATTGGTCGATGAGTTTTGGGGGGGGGGGGGATGGTTTAGATTTTTCAATATTTCACAGGGCTTTTTTAGTTTTTTTTGCTGCTGCGGGTTTTGGTGGAGAAGGAGGAGTAGTAAGGTAGTTTTATACTACTGACTGGCTGGCCCCCCGTCAGAATAAAGAAAATACGAAAAGCAAGGAATCGGGGGAACAAGTAAGGCAGGGGAGGAGGAAACAAGCAGGAGATGTGAATTTCATAGAAGAAGAAGATAAGATAGATTTCTTTCTCTCTGGTTTGCTCTAGGAAGAAGGTTGAGGTTGAGCGTAATATAACGGTTGTTGCTTCACAACAGAATTTATTAGGCTTAAAAGGAAAAGGAAAGAGAAAAAGGAAAAAAAAATCATACCACAAGTAAAAAGCAACAACGCACACAAAAGCGATAACTGTCAAGGCGGGCCTCGTAGGTAGTTACTGGTCATGCATCCATTGCATAAGTGGAAAAAGTAGGCGGGACAAGACTGGGAGGAAAAGGGTTTTTTTGATTATTATCAAGAAAGAAGTTTCCAAGTAGAAGCAACCGGGGGTGCGGATGAATAACGTAGTAAGTAAACTCCCTCACTCTCACCCTTTCCAGCTAGGGTTGTAGAGGTTGTAGAGGTTGTAAGGGTTGTAAGGGTTGTAAGAGAAACATTTGCCTTCCCCAGCACGAAGATGATGGCGATATAATATTCAAGCAATCTACTCCGTTACTTTCCGTATAACATAACTACAGCGTAAGGGTTAGTTAGGAGTTAAGGGGGGGGAGGAGGAGGAGGAAGATGTTAGATAGAAGAGAGGAAATTTTCCACCACACAAGCCGTAACTTATTAGTGTAAGTTATGTATTATTACCGCTGCAATCCATCCGGGCGGGTGTCTGTACGGTACGTACGGTAACATACATTATATTTTACCCGGCCCCCCCCCACCCCCTGCACATCCATTAAACCGTTGCCAGTTAACTCGGAGTTAGTGCACGCCGGGGCAGCGGTGATTGGCTGGAACAGCTTGTCCTGCGAGTTTAAGTTGGTGGTGGTGGAGTTTGGAAAACCTAACCTAACCTAACCTAACCTAACCTAACCTAACCCTGCTTGCTGCTGCTGCTGAGATATATATACTCCGTATATACGAACTGAACTGGCTGACTGGAGAATGAAGTAACTACAGTACGGTGTAAAAAGGAATTAGAGAGGAGTATTTGAGAGACAGAGTTGTGTATTGTATTGTATGCCATGATGAATATTATAAATGTATTTGGAGTGTTTCATGGTTAAAAAAAAAAAAAAAAGAATCTCTCAAGTCTCAACTGATCACCAACAGTGTAAGTTACTCCGTAGAAACATTAGAATAGAGAATAGCAAATCTCTGACCATTTAAATGCCTGCCACATAAACTCCACACATACATAGTTACGATAACAACCTACAGATGTACAGAGTAGTTCCACTGTGGACATTTCAAAATCTCCCCCTCGAAATTCCTACCTCTACAGTCTATTACGCAGTTGATTCACTTCCTTTCTTCCCGCTCCTCCTCCTCCTCCCGCTTTTCTAGCCCTTGATGAGCTGCTCATATGAAGTTTTACTTACGCAGTACATCCTAACTACATCCTTGTCATTTTTGACAATCACAAAGCAATCATTTGTATTTTTTGACAAATATATGACGCCTTTAAAAAATATATATATATAAAATAAAGAAAAGAAAAAGAAAAAGGAAAAGAACTCTGTCAGCGCAACTAATCTGTAATATCTGTGTAGAGTAGCTAGCTAGGAGTTAACTAGCATAGCATAACCAATATTGCAAATTTGCAATAATAATAATAATAATAATAATAATAATAATAATAATAATAATAATAATACTGAACAGCATGGCCATTGAAGCAGAGATACATTTGTTTATGTCTTCCTCCTCCCCCCCAGCAGGTGGTGTTAAAAGTGATGAGCACAACATATTTGTATACCTTGCTTGCATACTACTACTGCGTAATGTTGACTTGTTTGTGCTCATGAATCATACCCAAGATCTGTGTGTCCTTGCAATCTACGTTATTTATCTAGCACACACAAATAAAGTAATTATTTACAAAAGTCAATGATATCATGAAAAATTTGAATGTTTTAAATTTTATGTCTTGGAAAACTGCATTTTTGTCAGGTTGGGATAAAACCACTCTATTTTTTCTACAGTATGTCTGTCTGTCTGTCTGTCTGTCCATTTTGATTGATAAATGTATACTATACTGTTTCAATTGTCCGAGTAAATAATTCGAAAATAAAATAATAATAATAATAATAAGAGATAAAAAAAAACAAAAATAAGAACCTCTCAGATATCAATCGTAAATCTACCGTATTATACATATCCAAAATCCAAAGCAATTACTTCCGCCCCTACTCCCTCTCCCCTTATCCCCCATCTCTCCCAACAGAACCAGAACCAGAACCAGATCCAGATCCTTTACTCGACTTCCTCTTCCCATAATCCACCCAACTCCCCCTATTCCCCGCAGCAAGCACAAACCCCGGAATCGGCAGCGGCAACGCCAACCATCATCATCCCTACAATCCTCCCTCTCCCTCTCCCTCTCCCTCTCCCTCTCGACTAGGAAAGGATGTCCTCCAGAAACTAGGGCAA